CATGTTTCATCACATTCAGCTCGCTCACCACCACTTTGTTAAGTCGTCTTCAGTAGTTTTATTGACAGTCAACATCCTTGGCTCCGAAGTTTGTCGAAACTACGGAGTTGCTGTTGGCCATTGGAATATTATATAATATTATTAACACTGATATTAACTTCCGAGCCAGCGAATCAAACTAACTTGATTTATGTATGACTTTTTGTGTGGGAGTCGAACGTTTGCAGGATCAAAATCAAAGGTTTAGTAGGAATTAATGGTATTATTGTGCTTTGCACACATTCTGTCTAAACGATGTCATAACTCATTGTTTTAGCTATTCTTGAAAAATAAGCCAACATTGATTTACCTACCGTAATCGTCGAATTAACGTTGAATTACCATTTATTCGAAGTTAATGTTGTTCTATGAGTGTTTTCGTTGAATGGCTGAAGTAAAGCGCCAAACCAACGTCGTACACTCTAACTATTTCTTAAGCCCGTGCAACTACATTCCAAAAGATGACAGTTTCTATCGATATGCGTTGGAGATCGATTGTACTGACCTACGTCTACGACCTTGACCTAAGTGTTGCTGCGTCCGTTATGGGTCTCGACGTGGTCTATTTCTCGTTGGAGTTAGCTGTTTCGTCGTAGAGGTAATGTGACGCCGAACACTCGAATTAAAAGGAAGACACGATGGCCGACAGAATGCATTAACTTCGTCGAAGGTACCACAGACAGTCATTCTGCCGATGCACAGAGTAACCTCCCTTATCTAATACAGCCCGTAGAACAGCTTTTGATCAAGTAGCGAGTTGATCGTGTCAAGGCTGCTGGTGTGGTGCACATTCATGCAATGTTGGAGCTAACTATCTCAAATCTGGAAATTTATGTGCAGTTTTGCTTTATCACCGAGTATGATTAACTTAGTTTTAACGTCGAGTTATGTTCTAGCTTTAGATTCACGAAAAAGATTAGTCGTTGTTTTAGAGGCTCTATTTATAAGCCAAAGTTGATGCAAAGCACAATATACATACCGAAATAAAATCAAGTGTCCGTCCATTCATATGTAGTAATAATTTGCTGGACACTGTTTGGATCGTACTTACTTGGATAGCTAGTGTAGTGTATAACCGCAGTGTCAGACGCCAAAATACAAGGTCATGATGGAAGAGCTCAATGATGAAGTGCAGGTGGTGAGGAATAACACCGTGAACGCGAAGTCCAAGACTGTCTATCTTTATGGAATTATTAAGTACGTCCTGTGGCTCCACGACCACAAGCCTGGAGTAGTTGAGCCTAGTTTACGGGCCCTTTTTGATGTCACTTCGGAAAAAGGACGGCAAGAAACCAGGAAAGTCGCTGTATGGATCAATAAGATCCAGTATTTTCCATTTGTATCGGTTGTACGACGTGCAGATGCCAGATAACTACGACAACGAGCTAAGGAAGTTCTTTAAGGGCTTAAAGCGCAGCGTGGTTCGCCGTCAGCAGGAAAGTGGTGACAGCCTTGTCGAAGGAAAGATGAATTTTTAATTTTCATTTTACCACAGTAGATTACAGAGAGTAAGTAACCAGTAAAACAAGTATAGCAGAACTACACATAGTACGTACATGGTGCTCCTCATGTTGTGTATCGAGTATCGAGAGATACTAAGCCGTGACCACCTTCGCTTTTTGGTTGTGGCAGAATGTCGAAACCTTAGCTGTCTTTCTCTTCAGTGTGCCCTTATCGACGAATTTGATGGTAATTAACAGGCTTCCGTGGCCGCAGTGTCTCGGGTTGATGGATCTGCTGGTTGCTTGGCTGCGTATCGAGCATCTGTGTAGCGTATATATGTCAAATAGTGAAAAATAGCAAGCTTAGCGTGGCGATCGTGCGGTCACCGCATCCTTCTGTCGCCTGCAGTCGTGTTTCGCGCAATGTGTTCAATACACAATATGGTGTGCACACCTCGTCCAACTTTTTCGTTTTGCATTCAGAAAATAATAAGACCAGGCTCAGGAATAGAGCAAGGAATATTCGAAAAAAGTTGGACGGCCAATCCAACGACCGTCCGACTTGTATCCATTACCCGTCCAACAAATTGAGGAGAATCTAAAATACTTGCGTCGGAAATCAGCTATTGGAGTGTCACAATTAAACTTGCATATACAGTGCGCGTCGTAATTATAGCCGCACCTGAAAAATAGAGCTCTTGCGCCGGAAACCGAGACCTGCCTGCAATCGGAGGGCTCGGAGGCCGTCTTAAAGGGATATAAGACTTGTGCAGCAAGCGAGGTTGAAAAGACTTGGAGCCAGGAGACAAAATCTAGTTTCAGGTCGGGTCAGAATTATAGCTGCACTTGGTAATATAAAATTCAGTGAAGTAATAAACAAAAATGATTGGCTATTAAATGTAATAAATGAGACCTGTGGACAGCCTTGTGAAAGAGCGTTTAGAACCTGTTCTTAGATTCGCAGGGAAGCCAGAAACGATGCCACGAGGGAAGCAGCTAACCGAAGAGGAGTGCATGAAGATAAACGAGCACTACAGGGGCGGGAAAAGCAACCGAGAGATCGGCAGGCTCTTAGGACGCGACGAGAAGGCGATTAGGAACTACTTGAAGCGCGGGAAGGCGTCCTCGCTGACGAAGAGGACAGGAAGAAAGCCGAAAATAGTTGGCCGGGAGGCCAGGCGCGTCATTCGACTGGCAATTGTCCGAAACCTGTCCACCCAAGAGATCGCAGGACTGCTTTCATCGAAACCAAGCAAGTCTACGGTACTCCGCGTACTACGTAGCAACCGCTACGTAACGTACGCGAAGAGAAAACTCACCCCTGCCATCAAGCCGAATCATAAGAAGGCTAGGGTAGCATTTGCGGAGCGTTACGCCGGTAAAAGGGTCTTTTGATGACGCGTGCTGTTCACGGATGAGAAGAAAATCAACTTAGATGGCCCGGATGGGTTTAGATTCTACTGGCACGACTTGCGAGCAGCCCCCAAATTCATGTCGAACCGGGTCAATGGTGGCGGAAGCGTCAAGATTTGGGCGGGGGTGAGCTGGCATGGCAACACCGAGCTGGTCTTCCTCAAGGGGAAGCAGAACTCTGTCAAGTACACCGAAACGCTGACCTCCAGCATGCTTCCATGCCTAAGAGAACGGGGGTCAAAGTTAGGCAATTTGACCCCCATTTTCCAGCATGATAACGCGTCCATACATGCCTCGAGGTTCACCAAGGGCTTTCTAGCCACCCATAACATCGAAACGATGACATGGCCTGCCAAAAGCCCCGATCTAAACATCATAGAGAACGTGTGGGGGCTTCTGGCTCGCCGGGAGTACGCCAACGGACGCCAATTTGACAAGCCTGCCGACTTGATCAGACATATCAAGTTAGAGTGGTCTCGCATTGATCCTGAGTATGTCAAGAAGCTAGTGCGAAGCATCCCAAAGCGTCTGGAAGCAACTCGGCTGTTAAAAGAAGCTAAGACCGGTTACTAGAGCCGTTTGCATGTAGAGCCTGCAAGTGCAGCTATAATTTTGACCCGACCTGAAACTAGATTTTGTCTCCTGGCTCCAAGTCTTTTCAACCTCGCTTGCTGCACAAGTCTTATATCCCTTTAAGACGGCCTCCGAGCCCTCCGATTGCAGGCAGGTCTCGGTTTCCGGCGCAAGAGCACTATTTTTCAGGTGCGGCTATAATTACGACGCGCACTGTATGTCTGATGCATCGTCATATACTTCCCTACAACCCAAAACCCCAGCGACAAGGCTAAGCCCGACTGCTTCTTCCCCAGCTTGTAGACCTGAACAAGCGCTTACCTGCACACTGTCCTGCTCCGTCACGAGCCAATCAGTAAGTAGCTACCTATTCTCATTCGAAGCGCGATGCTTTTCTAATTGTTACGTGTGCTAGTGCGACAATGGGTCTGCCAATGCCCGACAAACTGCAAGGTCAGCTCCTGTAGTGGTGGGCGAACAGAGCAAGCCTAGCCATTCACCGGGCGATGTCGACGGCAGACACCGCCAAGCTGGCAGCAGATAAGAACAATAGGATGTAGGTTAAGTAACCACCGAGGCCAACCGAACGGCCGCTGAGATCACTTAGGAACTAACCCAGAACCAACAACAGAGCTTTGGTTTGCCAGGAAGAGCCAGCTTCCTTCGTAGTGTTCGAAACCTACTACAGCTCCACGTTAATTTTGGGCAGCCACACACGAATAGTAGAACGACGAATGAGCCTCCCATTACCTTTGATTCCTCACACAATGATGGATTCGGCAAGAAAGTGTCGATTTCAGCGGGAACGCTCTCTCTCTCTCTCTCTCTGGCTCGCATTGTCAAGACTGTGCGTTAAGGCCGAGGTGAAAACGAAGAGCACGGCCTCTAGTAGCCGTCGAAACTTCTAGTAGTGACGGAAATGTAGACTGGATAGAGACTTGAAGCTCTTCAATATAGAAGCATGAGTGCGCCTCTACGACAGTTCAGACGTTCACAAATAATTCAAACATCTGTCTGGAAGGGGGTGCACACATACAGGATTTGCCCATTTGCATCCGTAATCATTGTTTGCTGGCAGCTGATTCGCTAGTGATTGCTAGCAGCAAATTGCTGCTGCGTTTTGGAAATACTCGGTCGCTTGCCCAGTTGACTGAACAAATAGCATACCTGGATAACCCACCGCGAACATATTGCGACCAGCTGGAAATGTGGATAGATGTCGGGACACATGAACATCCGGCAAATACACTGTTTATCGCGATTCGTCCCGTCGGATTTCGATTCTGAAGGCTAATCTAAATCCGACTGCGATTTGATGAATCTCTCCCTAAATCGTGAGGTTCTTGGCGAGAAACTAGTGCTTCTCCGATTTCCTCAGTTACACATCCCCGTTCCCACATGCAAGACCAAGTCAAATGGCATTACTGCCTCGTCAAGCACCTCGTCTCCCACTGCTCTCTTCGACAAGATAATGGAGATTGATCACTTTGTCCGAACGAAAGCTAGGTAATCCGAGTAGACTTAAAGGAACTAGCCGATCTGCATTAGAAGTTTGTGATACAACTCATTTCTCATTCTAAATTTTAATATCTAGCCAAGTCAACTAACCGGACGGAGATTTTTTTTCTCAAAGAGCTTTTCTAGGTGACGCTCATAAAAAATATAGATAAAAGATCCCTCAAAATTTGTACAAGTACTAAGTATTCTGTTAACTACAAGAAAAGAGAAAATCACCTTCCGCGAGGCAGGGGTAACACCGAAAGCAAGCATGAATGAAACAACCACTTCATTTGCTTTTAGCCAGCTGAACATCAGTGGGATGCAAGTGATGTTGTGAAATTTTCGGCTTAATAGTCGCATAATATCCAAATTCATGTTACGAAGACCTACACCAGCTTGTCCTCTGAGCCACTCTGACTTTTATTCGACCGTGGGACGTCGTCCATCTCAACCTTGGAGAGAATTGCTGGTTGGGTAATTCCAGCACCCACCATAGCCTTCCTGCTACGTTGGCCGATGATCTTGTACACGACAAAGACCAAGAGTACAATGACGAATGCACCGAACAAGCTCGAAAGAACTGTAGGTGGACCGAATCCTTCTCCATTCGCTGTATCAGCAAGTGGAGTAGTGCACCGCGGACCGCCCCACGCACCCGAAGACCCACAACTACAACGCCCCTTCTTGTTACATTTGCCCGTCAAAATGTGCGAAGTACTGACCGTACAGTCCAGATCACTCTTGCAATTGGCTCCTCCCTGAACTTCGATCCACTTGTTCTCCGTCGTCTCGTACTCGTCGATATGATCCTCGATCCACTGCTTAGTCGGATGAGTGGAAGGATCACAACCGATAGACATAGTGGAGTTAGACGAGAGATCCTGGTAGATACGAATGTAGTCGATCTTCATGTACATAGGGAATCCGTCACAAATAGCGTTGTTCTGAGCATTGCTGCCATCCCCACGACATGGAGAGCCTGGATTCGGTGGCGTGGCACCCCAACTAGTGGATAACGCGACGTTAAAAATCACGTACATGGGTTCTTCCAGCATAATCTTCTTGGGGTTTGATTTTGCGTCATCTTGTGGTACGTTCTCCACAGACTCGGCTGGGATTTCGAATATAACAATATCCTCGACCATCCATCGAATGTATCCTTGTGAGCCCATGACCCATTCGACTTGGTATTTCACATAACTCGTGTAGGCTGCAAGTTGTACCGGCCAGTTAGCTGATAGAGCGTCCATCTGATATTCGAATGGTTCCATAACTTTACTCTTGGGTTCTTCAGCTCCTAACGGAGAGGAGCATTTCTTGTTGGAACTGTCAGGGTCACATAGGAACGCTCCCGTGTATCCGTTAATAACAGGCATGCATCCGCCCGCTTTGTTAACCCCCCAGTATTCAGGTCCTTTACCGTCGATCAAGCCTAGATCGGAGTATCCATCACCGGAAGCTGGACATGCGTTGACTCCTTTACACGTATTCGAAGTGAAGCCTTTCTTGGAATTAGCAATGACCATTTCCGGGTCCTGAACGAGGCTGCTGACCGAGTTACAGAGTGTGTTTGGAGCGTACCGAAGACCTTGATACCAACTGTCATGACCTCGAGCTTCGTACGTTTTTGCTGGAATACCAGGAAAATTAGCACCGATAGTAGTACACGAACCGGTGTACACACAGTACGGACTGGTATCATCCGAAGGAGCAATGATACGGAATTCATCGGGCATTCCCGGAGCGACCTGAATACTCGTGGAGATGGCTACACCTCCACCTTCCAGTAGATCGATCTCCGGAGCTCCTCGTCCTTGATGGGGATTGAGACCATGACCCGGATTACCGTCGCACGCACTGATTCTCTGACTAGATTCGAGCTTGTCGTTGCATTCATTGTAGCTCCAAGGCCACATCCGACTGGTCGACTGGGAGAAGAGAGCTCTCCCTAAATTTCCCAGTAGCCAAATACCCGGCCATGTGGGGTAGAACGCGTTAGTCTTAACGCGGTTCTTAACGTCACCCATATCCGGGTTACTGGAGCTCGTTGTAGCTGGTAATTGAGCCACCACTTCCATCCTCCCCCCTTGGAAACAGAATTTGTTCCAGGACTGTACCATTCCAGCTCGGTAGTACATGTGGTGGGTCTCAAAACCTGCAGGTTTGGCGTACGTGTTCCACACAGTGTACGTGATGTTCTCCTCCTCCATAATCTTTATCCTGAATACCCCACGACCGTCCGATTCGGTAACAGTATCTGTCATATTGAAGCTGTAGTATTCCAGAGCCGCGTTAACACCGTCGGGCATCTCTAACGCTGTCCACATGTGGTCCGCTCCAGGCGTAAAATTACGCCCAGCGACGTTAAATTCGTCGCTCATGACCAACGCCCACGTATGTCCACGCGACGACGTGACGTTGTAAGCGCTCTCGGGTGTGTCAACGTCCACCCACGGACTTAATCCTGACCGAGATGTGATCATGGAATCTGCTCGCTCCGACGTGACCGATCTCGTGATCAGAGCCAAAGTTGAGCACAACAGTAGCCCCGGGTGCATGTTATCCGGTAGATTATTACTAGGAGCCTGTTGTTGGCTGGGGAAGAAGGAGAATGAAGCTACGTGAGACTAGCGCGCGAACGGTAAAAGGTCACACGCCCTTCCGTTACGACACGTACGTTTCGACTTTCTCTTCTGGACTAAAAGTTTAGTGGCGCATCGTAATGGCAGAGCTGATGGGTGCTCTTACCACTGATCTATGGGTACGTGAATGCTGACATGAGTTCTTTGTGAAGATAATTAGAGGTGTATGCTGCAAGGACGCGAAGGCAGTGAATTCTGAATTCTGGATATGGGTGCAATATTCCAAGATTCTCTGGGAATGATGATCCGATGTCAGGCTCTATTTAGGTGCCGGCAAAGATAGCTCCGAGTCCTTAGTGCAGGACCGAGTTCATTCGACGCAATGCACGAGCGCTCCAATGTTTCGACGCCTCGCTTTGTGCGAGGATATCCGAAGCCGGATTCTAGAATGGTGGCTCCGTTCACGAAACTCGATATCTTCCCGAATTCTCAGCCATGGAATGTGAACCGGCCCATACAAAAGCCTGCACGTCGTCGCGGTCTCGCCTGCCTCCCGTTCATATTTACAATGCCGTCTGAAGCGCTCGACAGCTCGGATTTCAGACCATCAACACCCGGAAGCTCCGCTTCGACGTTCCTGGATGCCTTACGCAGACGAACACTGCTAGACTTATCCTGTATGAGGGAGTTCTCCCTACTACGCACCAAGCCACTACCAGAGCGAAACCTTTCGCGTTTATCTGTCAGCTCTACCTACGACATGCACACGGAACAATTGCATCTCCAGCAATTCGCCAAGCCTCAAAACTTTAAAAAAGATACCGAGATCCGCAAAGTATCGCCAGTAAAGCGACAAACTCCGCGAGTCGTCCATACACACCGTAAACTTTCAACTGCAAGAGAACAATTCAACGAGTTTACTCGCACAATCACCGCTTCTCCACCAGCCAAAGTCCCTCATAAGCCTCAAAAACCGAAATCCCAACCTGTACGACCTCGAACCGAGTCGATTCCTACCGCTCATAAACTTTCCGTAGCTGAGCAACATGGGTTCCTCCAAGAACAGGATTTAGCCACTCTAATGGCAGCTACAGGCTATTCTCGTGCAGAGTTATTTGCACGTTGGGCTCGCTTTAAAGCGTTGTGCTCCATGGCTACGAACCCGCACGGTGTAGACAAGGAGACACTACGTCATGGAGTACCGCAACTTTCCGCCGAAGATCAGTTCTTCGTCGATCGCGCGTTTGATGTACTTGATACTGACGGCTCCGGAGCTCTCGACTGGCCGGAGTTTATCGCTGCACTTAGTGCACTTGAGAAAGGAGACTCCTCTCGAAGGATTGACTTCTTGTTTCACGCGTACGATATCAATGGAGATGGCTACATCCAGCGACAGGAGGTGCAGATGTTCTTCTTGGCCAGTTTACTAGTTCCACAGACGCCGGAAGCTATCGATGTGGCACGACATTTTGTAGACAAGATTTTCATTTCTCTCGGACGAGAACAAAGCGACTCGATCCGAGTGGAAGACGCTATGAATTATCTGCATCAACATCCAGCCACTGATGCATTTAATATTCTGGGACGTACAATGGTAGCCACACCACCTTCAACCCCAGCTCCGTTAGGGATCCGACCCAGGAGGAAACTCATACGCGAAGATCAGGATACAAAGACTGAACTTGAAGAGACAAGTTGATAATCCCGAATTTGATATGATAGTTTATTGATCTTCATACTCCGAAGTCGTTAATTCGTTCCGTCTCGGCGCCATTGGCTGTCATAAACATCATATGCACGTTAAGAAACAATCATAAAACACGATGAGCAAACGCCGAACTTACCACGCCCCTGTTTCCATCATATTGCTGAATGTTGCGGAAATTCTTGTCAGACGCGAAGTGGTTCCGTGCTCGAGGTGGAGATCGAGTTATAGCTTCCCATACTTGTTGCTTCTTAGTCGACGGACATTGTCGTATATGAGCTTTTGGTGAGATAGATATAGCTGTTCGCTCATTGTCGGAATCTTTTTGAACCTTGAATGCTACGTGCTTGCGATGTGGACTAGCTTTGATTGGAGACACGACAGGGATAACTGGTAACCTGTACGAGTCTTCGTTGCTGGATAAATCTCTGGCTGCTGTTCGGACAGGAGAGAAGGGCATTTGACCTTTGTTTGTATCGGTATCGTCGAACGCTGTGCTGTAGTTATGAAGGTGAAGGCGCGAGTTGCGGCTTGGATTTCTTCGAGGCCCTCGCTTTTCAATACCGCGTACAACCGCACTCACCCCGACAGCTAAACGCGACGAGTCTAGTTGGGGTAACTGCGCTAGTGTTGATGCAGTTTGAATACGTCCTGGGGTCTCTGGTGGCGAGATTATAGATGCTGTAGGACGTTTAATAGGCGAGCATATAGCAGCGGAAAGACGCTCCTGCTCGTGTGCGTTGCCATCCGAGACAGAGAACGGCAGTGTATCTCGTTCCAGTTCGAACTTACTGCGTTGAATTTTCGCTCTCCCATGACCTCGTTGATCATTTTGCGGTCGAGTAGGTGATAAACCGGTAGTAACTGTGGAGTTCGCTGCGACGTACGCTTGGAAGTCTTCATCTTCTTGTGAACTTACAGCTTCATCAGTCTCAGAAGGATGGTTTAAACTCATCGAAGCGATTGCTGTAGTAGTCGCCCGACGTCGAGAGCGAGCTGCTTCACGCTCTAAATGAGCCAGAAGGTCATTCCGTCGTGCGTGCTCTTGAGCTGATAGTTGTCGTGGCGTACCGAGAGCAAAGATATTGGATAGTGATGCTGCATCGGGTATATCCTCGTTCTCTGTGACCGTTTCGGTGGGTTGTTTAAAACTCGCGGTATTCAACTCCATGCCAGCTTCGGCTGTAATACTCACAGTGTTGTCCATGGGAATTATAAGTTTGTGTCGTACAGTCTTCCATCGACTTCCTAGTCGCGGTGAGGGAGCCAGGAGCAGCCGAACTTTGCGCGAAATGGCACGTTGAGTGGAGTTTAAAAATGCTTTTTTCGCTACTTGGCCAGGTGCACGACGATCCATCGCAACAGCCTGGGGTGGGATTTCCTCCAGATAACTACTTAGAAGCTTTTGTTCAGGACCAGAATCAGGCTTTAACGTGCCTTTTAAGACACCAGAGACCTCAATCTGAAAGATACGCGACCGTGGCGTAGATTCTGTCTCTGGAAGCTGAGATGATTGAAGTCTATCACTGCTTTCCAGCTCCTCCTCGGCTGTTAGTAACGCCCTCTGCACGAAGTGTTGTAGATGTGATAAAGCCACTCGCGCTTGTGAGTTCTTGACGTCAAATACCTCCCGATTCACCGCCATCACGAACGTTATTGTACTTGGAACAGCACTCACTAACCCTTTGGCAACAAGCTGTTGCAAGAACACGGAGACTTGGTCAGCTGGTATACACCACTCGTTAAGAGGTTCTTCTCCACCTCTCACACCGATCAACTTGCGCTTGCCCGATAACGACGAGACTGCTTCTGATGACGGGAACTGCTGTAACTCTAGGCCAACACGGTCCTCACGCATGCCGAGGAAGTAGAGTAAGCGTCTTAGAAACACCAGCGTAGCGCTGAAACTGCGTTGTACACTTGGTGTCCATTTACTCTTCAGTATCTGCTGTCGTCCACTCTGTATTCGATCAAGCGAGTCTGTTGGCTCACACGCACACACTTCCACAGCTTCGAACACTTGAGCGCACATTTGACGCGCCGACGTAGTAAAGAGCGCTGTATTCTGCACCCGCACTTGCATCTCCTGGAAAATTGCAGCCACAAGATCATCCAGTAGAAACACACACGTCTCCTCCGCATCCCCCAAAGCACATCGCTGACTCTCCAGCTCCATACGCCACTCGTCAACATCGTCAGTGTTCTCAACTCCAGCATCTATCACGTCCATGGCGTAGCCCCGCCAGTTCAGCTCGTTTTACGTGGCGTAAAACGACACTCAGACGCTAATAAAACAATGAAACGCTTCTTTTTGGACAAGTTAGCAGTCATCATACCTTGATCTCCTTGTTGTCTTGAACCTGTAAACATAACACAACATCACTCATTCTGGTCTATTGAATAGCCTTATACCTTGACGGTTTGTCCTCACATGTGGGCAAGAGGTCTGGATCTACAATGCCGTCTCGGTCGGCGATCGTTGCGTCTCGGCAGTAGGAGAATTTGTCGGCGTCTTGTTCGACTTGGGTCGACGTTGGTAGAAGAGCATATAGGCTTCACACTGCAGTACTTGCTCGAAAGACACGCGCTTGACGACGGTGTCCGAGACATAGTACCACGTCCGCGAGGGGCCCTCACTGTTCCTAGGCGTCGTAGCCTCCGCAGCTCCTTCCTCTGACGCCAATCGGCTGCGAGCTCGAGCGAGTAACAGCGCTTCACGTCGTCGAGAGCGACTAACGTACGCCACGTAGTGTCCTGACCGCTTGTTGCCCATATGCACCACTACAGCAATGAGTTCATAGCACAGCGAGTGGTTCTTGGCATCGCCTCCGCCTTGACGCAGCGTCTCACTCACATATGGCGTCATATCCAGCTTCTCAGTGAACGAAATATGCTGCGTGATCTTCCTGGAACGTGCCAGACGCTTGATATGCACCACAAGTACTCGAGGTAAGGCCGATACAAACAGCTGCATGGACGCATCTCGTAAAACCACCTCCATCTCGGGCTCAGCGTTGGATCCCAGACGCTTCTTACGTATAAACCTGCCCGCAGCGCTGCGTACTTTGGGCTGACGAGAACATTTCTCGCAGTCGTAGCCATTGTTCGCTTCTACGAGCAACTGGGTCTCCCTCACAAAGTCGTCCAGACAGTCCGTAGTCGTTAGATCACGGTGACGTCCATCGGGCACAGATACACTGAGATGGAAGGCGTCCTCGACGATCTCCGTCCGCTTGCCGCATGCTTGACACGTCACCGCAGTCGTCAGTGCGCCGCCGAATAAATTACGCGTAAAATTCAGTCTTGAGTACATTTTTCTCTTCTCCGCTCTAGCGTGAAGCACAGCCGATGGGCGGGAGGATAACGTAGCGCGCGTTTCCACTTTAGAAGCGTCTAGCATCATATCTTCTTCGTTGAGATTCAGTCTCTTGGCCAGTAAATGCTGCACCTCTTTCACTGTCGCGCTCTTGGGCACCTGCATCGAGATGGTCTCTCCAGTCTCAGTCTTGACGAAGATCTGCTTGGTTTCTTCCTGTTCCACGTCGCTCTCGCTGCCTTCTTCCTCTGTTTCCTGCTCTCCGTCTTCGGTCTGTTCAGTGTCCGTCGTGTCGTCTTCAGGCCACGTGCCATTACGAGAAGAGTCCTCATCGTCAGGCAATTCCGACGAGTTGGCAGTACTGCAGCTGCTGGTCGTAACACTGTCGTCAACAGCTTCAGATGGAGGTAAAGGAGGGTCCATCTCCTCGTCAATCGCCCATAAAAAGCTAGTAAACAGCTCGTGCGCGTCCTGTTGATAATGTCCGCGGAACTGTGAGAACTTATTGCGCATCTCCTTGAGTAACGGGGCTACAGTCAACAATGAAGACGAACCGGATCGCGATCGACCGCTCTTACTCCTCCCTCGTCTATCTGGTGGCTCGCCGGCAAGAGCTTTACGTGCACGCTTCTTCACCGTTTCATGCAGCATCCTATGTTTAAAACATTAGTTTAAAACAATAAGCACAGATTTATTGCCATACGTACGTGAAGGTCGTCGTAATAGGCGTATTCTTCGTCTCCAGCACCTCCTCAATGTGCGTATGTTCCGGGAAATAGTGCGTCGCTGTCAGCAGCGCCTGCATCGACGCGTTGAAATAGCACGTATTGCCTAAATTCGTAAAACCCAGCACCGTATTGGGTAATTCTCCCGATGCTTCAGTATCTGCTGAGGGGATACTGATGTCCTGTATTGGGTCTCTTTTCATGGCTGTTTTTAACATCCTTCGTCGCATTTTGTCCTCTCTGGCCTTGGTTCTTAACGGCATATCCAGTAAAGCCACTCCATTGCCGTTAACATGTCCTTCTGCGTCGTTTGCACTCTTTTTCTCGAGTGTTAAGGCCCCTCTGGGCATCGGAGGCGTGTCTGCGTGAGTCTCTAGATCCAGCAGGTTATTGGCCGACCCATTGGGCGTCGTAATAGGCGATAACGTCGTCTGTGGAGCGCGTATCTGGTTACGCAGCTGTCTTCTCTTCTTGGCTGCAATTTCCTCCACAGCGTCACAGAAATCCTGTCGCGCGTTCTCTACTTTAGGACGTACGTTGATGGGGATATCCATGTTGCAAGGCTCACACCAGAAGGTCTTGGAGGCCAGTTGCAGCCCCACCAAATGCTTGGGATGAGCCTGTAAGTGGAGACTGAAGTGGCCGTCGCTGAAGCAGCCCACGAAGCCGCAGCTCACGCACACGAGCAGGTCTGTGGCCTCTGCGTATTTGTCCCAACTCTGGAGCGCTGCGGCATCGATGCGGCTCGTTGACGGTGGATTGCAACCCTTGAAATGAGCGGTTAAGTGGTTAGTTACGTTAAGAACTTTGAGAGATTGAGGGCGCGTACCTCACAGAGCAGCTGCGAGCGCTTCTTGAGCTCGCGACGGAATTCGGGCAGACGCACGGCCTGCCCCACGTGGCGGCAGCTCTTCTCGCCACCCATGGGCAGCCACGAAGCACGGGGAGGTGGAGCAAGGAGCTGCTTGGGATGTAATGGCCCCACCGAGTTTCTCTTCGATTTGAGCGGCTATTCGGTTAAGTGCGAATTACGAATATTGGTTATTCGGTGTGAGAGGTTTCGAAAGAGTAACCATGTTGGAGTCCCCAAGAAGTACAGCTTCATGCAACAGTTCTACAGTGCACCGAATCCGTGACGGACGTACATGTACTACGGACGTACATGTACTTTCCTTGGAGAACACCCAGTTTCTTCTTGCGCAAGGTATATCAACAGCATGCCGTATGAGCTACATCTCAGCCAGGACGTGGTTGGACGTCTGTTACTGCGTTTACTTGGAGTCTCGGTAATATTTCACCACGAGGTTACGAGACTACCAAGGGTGATCATCGTACTCCACTGCGTAGGAATAAACTAGTTATCCTACCAACGCCGGAATCAGTACCATGGCACAATCTGTGCTATGACGCAGTACCCATAGTAGCCATCATCAATGTTGGTATCGCCTCGTCCGCGCTTGGATCGCTTTCATGCCACGCACGCCACTCTTAAACCTGATCGTGCGGGCAACGCCAGAGGACACGAAAGGATCTTGCCTCAAGACTTCCCCGAGGTCAAGCAGTGTTGAAGACGATAACAATTTACCCAATCTGATCTCTGATTGGCTGATGAAACGTCGCCACGCCAGGCGATCTTACTCTCCAAAACCACTTGCTTTCAGTATGCCCCACCTCGAAACAGAAGAAGAACAAGATCGCTGCGACATCCCCTAGGAAGAACAAGAGCAAAGCGTCGCGACCTTGAGACTCCATTCCACTTTCCCCCATTAAGCGCTTAAAGCTCGAGCAGGCCTCAGATAAAAGCTAGATAAAAATGCCCGCCAAGGACTGCGCCGATAGTAAAGCCCAACACGACGCCGAGCGCTGTGAGCTGGCGGCCAACAAGAAGCGCCTGAAGACGCAGAGCAAACACGTCGACTCGGAGGAGGACGAGACGGAGGAGGAGGACGCGCCCTCCACAAGTGACAGCGACAGCGACGAGCACGTGGATTTTAGCGCCATTGCAGCGCGTCTGGGCCGCTCGGCCAGCACGCACCGCCGCTCTGTGGTCTCGTCCTTCGTGCCTCCTCCAAACGAGCAGTGGACCCCGCCTGTATACCCCAAGAGCACGCAGGACATCGAGTCAATCCGCCGCTCCGTGCGACGTAACCTGCTCTTCGCTAAAATCCCGGAAGATACGCTGCAAGTACTGGTGGACGCCATGAAATACGAGGCTGTGGACGCCGGTGTGGACATTGTGACGCAAGGGGACGTGGCTGGCGACAGGTTCTTCATTTTGGACAGCGGAACCTGCGATGTTATCGTGAACCACCGCATGGTCGGAGAGGTGAGCGCCACGTCGGTACGCAACTATTTCGGCGAGCTGGCGCTGCTCTATGACTCGCCCCGAGCGGCCACTGTGCGTGCCAAGACACCTGTGGAGTGTTGGTCATTGGACAGAGTGACGTTCAAACGTGTGCTCATGGCCACAACCATGCAGCAAAGAGCTCTTTACCTGGACTTCCTGGACCAGGTACCCATCTTCTCGACACTATCGAGTTATGAGAAGATGACGGTGGCCGACGCCTTGCGCGTACAGTTCGTGGGGGCTGGAGACGTTATCCTGACTGAGGGATCCAGAGGCGACGACTTCTATATTATTGCAGACGGCGAAGTGAAATGCACACGTGGAGGGGAGGAGGTGTCGGCAAGACTTGGGGCTGGCGACTTCTTCGGAGAACTCGCACTCATCCACGACGATGTGCGTCAAGCTACAGTCACAGCCATGCGCAAGACAAAAGTTCTTATGCTGGACCGAGCCACCTTCAAGCGGCTGCTTGGCCCCATGCAGGAACACCTGCGCAAACGTGCGGATCTCTACGAGCTCTACATGAACACAACAAGGATCAACGAGCAGAACTGAGCTCAGCCATCTACTAGCAAAGTCAGTAGATAGTACTATGTAGTAAATTGTAGATATGCCTGAGAGCTCGCCTTAGCCCAAGTCCGACCTCCAAGCGTTGCCACCGGAAGCTTTCTACCCTGTCAATATATAAGCCAATGTAATACACGTATGATGACTCAAAAGATCGAGGTATACTGGCGAAAACGAAGAATAAGAAGAATAAGAATAAAAAGTTTCGTAATCTTATGTCGATAGTCGACAACAATAAAAAAAA